TTCCCAGATCTGCAGCTCCTGGCTGGTACCTCTGCTTGGCATCTCCCCACCCCTCCACCTTCTCCAGAACATCAGCCTGCCTCTTACTCTCTTCATTTAGTCTTTCCTGACACTTGGCAATTCACAAATCTATTCAATGACGCCCTTCTGTTTTTGCATCTGAACCTATAAATAGTCCCCACAGCCCTGTCTGCCTTGTGACATCTCGTGCTATAGTCCTTTCTCAGACTCTTGAAGCCTCATCTTCATGCTCACTCAAGAGGAAAGAACAGCTTCCAAAAAAAGGAATCTTTTATTTTAGCACAAACAGTGTAGTGGGGACTCACCGCAGTGTGACTGTCCACATGGAGCTCAGAGACAAGCTTTCAACAAACACTAGTCCTGGGAAGCTTGTGAGACAGTGAAAAACAATAAGGTTTGGGCCTTGCATTCTGCGTGGGAGTTGCACCTGTGACCACATCATGACGTGATGTCGTGTACTATGAGGTGCAAGATATGCCCAGTGCCCTGGCAAGAGCAGGGGCTAGCATTTCTGTCCAGGAAGACTCCACCCAGGGGGTCATGGGGGTTGTGGTCAACAGGGGAGGGGATTGTGGCCCACAGAAAAGCCTTCTGTGTAGGCAGTGAGGCAGGGAAGTATTGGCTTAATTCCAGTAGGAAGTACTAGGGCACCCGCCCTCTGCCCCACACCACCTTTTCTGAACAAAAAGTGCCTGATTTACTGGACATGTATTGCCACATGTCCTGCTCGGGGACCCTGGCTTGTGGAGGTGTTGGCACCTTGGTCATGACTTGGCCATACCCTTGGGTCAGAGACTTCACCTTTCTTGGCCTCAGTTTCTTCACCTATGAAATGTGGGTGGTGCAGTTGTGAGGATAATTAGAAACACAGAGCTTGGCACACAGTAGGAATGTAACAAATGCTACATGGGATTATTATTATTATCAAAACTTGTAATCCTCCCCTACTAACCAGGAGACTTACCTCAGTGCACAGCCTAGCACTGGGAAGCCAGGAGAAGGGGGCCTTTGATTCAAGAAGCAAAATATGTAGCCTCCACAATGCACCAGAATCAAACTGGAAAGCACCAGGCTAACCCCCTCCTCGCAAGACGAGGGTACACTGTCTCTGGACCTCAGTTTCTCCAGCTGCGAACGGAGGGGATGGATGAGACCTGTCTCTATGGTGGCTTTTGGTTCCTAGTCCTTGGAAGTGAGTTGGGAATTTGGAAGATTTCTGCTCGAACCCCTGACCATAGCTGCTTGGCCTTCCCTGTCCCTTTCCTATTGGCCTGCAGCTAAGGGGCATTGGGAGACACTCACTGTGTCCCCCCACACTGCACATCAGGCCCTGCAGTACTTCCTGCTGGGTCCTGGTGGTGGAGGAGCCCAAGACTTCCCTTGAGGGACCTGTAGGTTACACACAGTGTGACAGGTCAAAGGTGCATCTCTGCTGGGAGGGGCAGCTGACCGGCTCTACCATAGCCTGTTGCCAAGGGTTAGGAGTGGGCACTGGATGTCTCTGAGGCTCCATCTGAAGCAATTTGGCAAGGAAAGGATGACGTGGAGCCAGGTGCCAGTGGCTCATGCCAGTAATCCTAGCTATTCAGGAGGCAGAGATCATGAGGGCCGTGGTTCGAAGCCACTCTGGGCAAATAATTCACGGGATGCTATCTCGAAAAAACCCAACACAAAAAAGAGCTGGTTGGAATGGCTCAAGGTGTAGGCCCTGAGTTCCAGCCCTAGTATGGAAAAAAAAAAACAAGGATCACATGGTCTCCTTTACAACAGGGTCTTATCAACTGTGTTCCATAGGGCTGTGAGTGGCTTCTGAGAGGCCCCAGGAAGCTAATCTTTAGGGAGAATTCTGATGTCTCTGATAACAGAAGTCACCTGCTCATTATAAAAGTCCGGAGAACCAAGATACAGAAGTAAGATTCAGTCCACACTGTGTTTTTCATAAACAACAGCTTTATTCTAATGTATTTAATTAGCATGTTTAATGTCATACAGTTTACCCATTTACAGCATATAATTTGGTGGCTTTAGTGCATTCAGAGTAGTGATGGTGGCACTCCCTAAAAGAAACCTTGTGTTGCATTACAGTGTGAGTGCACTTCAGATTGCTGAATGTACACTTACTAATGGTTAAGAGACTGGATTTTATGTTACCTATGTTTACCACAATTTAAAAAAAAAAGGAAAACAGTCATACTCTTTAGCTGCCCCACCCCCACTCTCATCCCTAAACAGTTCCAAGTGTTACCCCCACGTCTTTTGATTTGGCCCACTCTTGGTTGCAGCACCCAAAGACCAGTTTGGCTCCCCTGTCCTTTGTGGGACCTGTGCTAGGCTCAGCACAAAGACAGAAAGTGAGACCCTTGCGTTCTCCGCCAGTCCCTAGCCTTGGGGTCCCAGAAGCCTGTCACACACAAGGATGTACAGTTTAGACAGGACCCTGGGTGTGGCTCTCCAGACAGAAAGATCAGAAAGAACCAGGAAACTCAGGCCTTAGGGCAGAAGGAGAGGCCACAACTGAGCCCTGAAAGCCAAGAAGGACAGAGAAGACTGAGGAGAAATGGAGAGACAGTGACTCTGCAGAGAAACAGAAGACAGTTGGGGAGCAAGGGATCAAGGGGAGCAAAGGTGGAACTCCCTAAAGTCCAAGGGCCTTTGGGCCCCTAGAGGAAAGGGCCACATGGTGGAGGTTTAAGACTCTGCCAAAAGGTACCTTCAGATCTCTCTCCTAAAGAGACTTCATCTAGGGTCTCCATCCTAAAGAGATATTTTGTAAACAGTAGACTCTTATCCAATTCCAAAACTGGGTTTCATGCACTGTGCTGGGTGCCAAGGGAGTCTCAAAGATGGAGAAAGGCCCACCTGGCATGCAGGAGCTCTTGCAGGGTAGCCTTGGTACAAAAGGATACATTTCACACTCCAGGTCAGGATGGGGGGGTTGGGTAGGTGGCCGGGGCAGGCTGGGGAGAAGAGGTCTAATTGCAAAAAACCAAGTATGTGCCATGATTCTGCAAGTCCGTAATGTCCACAGTAAAAAGGTGACTGCGCCTGTGGGTGTAGAACTGTGCCAGGCGCTGGGCACAGTGAGAGCTGAGGCAGTAAGCAGAGGGTGAGGACACTAACTCTGGAGCTATGTGACATTGCTGGTTCAGGGAGGGAGTGCAGGTCACCCTTGTGTCAGTGGGTGGAGGGGTAGTGACTGACTGTTGTCCTGGTTCAATCTGTGTTCTGCAAAGGTCAGACCATGTCACAGTAGCCAGGGAGAGCTGCTAACTGTGGGGTAGCTCAGGACACTAGGCTGGGTTTTTGAAGCATGCATCACCACTAATCCCATAGGAGAGAAGGTCTTTCTTTTCCCACTTACAGGTGGAGCATCCTCTACCTCTTGCTGTTTGGCCCAGCCTCTCTCTCTGCTGCCCCTTGTGTAGAGAGTGGAAGATGCACCAAATGCAGGAAACAGGTGGCACTTGGGCCACCAGAGGCCGCTTCCACCCGTCCCTATGGCAGGGAATTCAGACAGTGGAAATACTATGGGCTGAAGTTACTCAGACTTAGGTCATTTGTAAGCATCCTCCAAATAGTTCCTGTACTGTACACAGCTTAATATTTTTCTTGAAATTCTCCTTTTAAATTTTTGTATCTAATCGTATAGGAAACCATGATCTCTTTGCCATAAATAGATATTTGCAAATTTTTTAAAAACCCTGTGAGCTGTTAGTGTGTCTTTGGAGTTGGAAGGTCCCCTTCCTTTTGCAGGTGGAGGCACTGAGAGGGAAAGGGATTCACTCAGAGCCATGGGTGTTAGTTCCAGGGTCAGAGCCAGGCCTGGCAGCCAGGCCCCGCCTCCCTCCCATCACACAAAAGCTGACAAATGAGACTCAGCTGTGATCACATGCCGCGCATCCTCACTGATGCCCAGGAAAGCCCACTGTGGGCCCCCAAGTGCAGGAGATTACCTAGCAGAGGGTGGGGTGCAGGCCTGAGAGTTAGGCATTGTGTCCACTGGGGCCACTGATGAGTCCTAGGACCTCCAAGAAATGGCAAAGCTTCTCTGCACCCCTTGCCCTAAGGCTCTAAAGGAGGCAGTGCCTTGCCCTTCATTGGTCAGCCTGTACCCAGATACAGACACCGACTGCCACACCTCACCACTCTGCCCCTCCAAAGAGCCTTATCTCAGGTACCCAAGATGGGACTTGGGCACCTGCTTTGCTGGCTCTTCCTAGACAGAGCTGTGAGATAGTGGGGTTGCCCTCACCCTTGGGCCACCTGTGTAGCCAAATCAGGTTAGGTTTGAACAGTCTGGGGGATCCTGGGTGAAAGGCCAGTGGCCCCACTTCAGAGCTCCTGAACCAAGGCACCTGCTAGAAACAGGACTGGATCCATCCTTTCCGTTGGCTCCACCCTGTGCTCAGAATTGCCAAGTCATAAAACTTCATTGGGATGATCCTGATCCATTATATGCATTTTGTTTGGCTGTACTAGAGTTTATGGTTTGAACTCATAAACTCAGGGCCTCGTGCTTGCTATGGCAGGTGCTCTATGGCTTGAACCAGAACCCTATCCCGTTTTTGCTTTAGTTATTTTTCAGATAGAGTCTTTCATTTTTGCCTGGAGTCAGCCTCGGACCATGATTCTCCTATTTACACTTCCCATGTATCTGGGAGGAGCATTTACCACCATGTTCAGCTTACTGATTAAGAGGGAGTCTCAGTAACTTTTTGCCCAGACTGCCCTTCAACCTGTACCCTCCTGATCTCTGCTTCACCACTAGCTGAGATTACAGGTGTGAGCCACTGCACCTGCCTATTACATGCTTAATTCTGCTTTTACAATCTAGAATCTTCTGCATTATTTTGCTAAAAATGTTAAGCGTATATTAGTTAAGGAAAGTTATGATAGTAGATAACCCTGACCTCTCAGTGGACTGACACCCTTGAAGTCCATTTCTAAGGTCTAGGTGCAGCTGATGTTTGGGGCTGCACAGATTAGGCACTATAGTGGGCACCGGGACCCTCGATGAGCATGGCAGACATGCACTGTTCCTGCCAGCCCTTGGGGAGCCACTTCCCTTTTCTCCCCTACTTTTGGAGGACATTCACCCAGGGCCTTTCTCATCTCTCCACAGTATTGTACCTGGAAGGCTCGGTTCTTGTGTTTGAGGACATCTTCAGACTGATTGCGTTCTACTGTGTCAGTAGGTAAGTAGGTCGCTGCAGGTCGGGAGGAAGGCCCTCCATTCCTGCCTGACGGTGCATTGGAACAGATGTCCACCTGTTGCAACACCCAGTTGTGACAACAGATATCCCCGGCAGCCTTGGGTGTGTGTGTGAGACAGAGGGGAAGTCATAGAGAAACCCCAGAGGGAAGGGTGCAGCTCAGAAGAAGCAGAGAGAGAGTACAGTCTCTTGACTTTGCACTGCTAACCATGAAGGGTGGGGTTATCTCCCATGCCTTCCTGGACCAGGTGATAAGAGCCCCTTTCTCACCCCCATCTGTCCCCTCCAGCTCATTGTCTGTCCCCCAACTTCCTGTGTTACCAGCATCAAGGATGGCTTGGGGTCCTGTGTGAACCTGATGGGGCCGGTGGTCGGGGTCCCAGAGGGGCTGCTGTGCCTAGGTGGCCCAGAGCCTGAGTATTCAGCTGCTGCTGGGTGGAGCAGGTATCTTGTAAACGCCCTCAGTACCGCTCCATTCATTCAGAACTGGTTTCAGGTCAATGAGAATTTAAAAATATATTTTGCTGACATAAGCCAGTGGCTTTAAGCGGCAGGACCTTGACAAGGGCTGGTTAGAAGTTAGCAGGATGTGTGGGAGTCCGTCCCCATGGGCGGGCACAGTGATGCTGATAATTAAAGCTGATGCCCACAGTGGCCACAGTGGCCACCTGTGGAGGGCTTGCCAGGCCCCCAGCCTGCGCCAACGACTTTTATACCCATCGTCTTTTTAGCCCCATGAGGTGCCCCATAAGTGCTCCTGTTACACCCATTGTACAGATGTGGAAACCAAGGCAGAGCAGTCACTTGCCTGAGGTCGCACACCTGGTGAATGGCAGACCAGGATTCAATCTAGATCCAGCTCTCAAGTCTGCTGAATGCTTTGCTGCCTACTCTGTGCAATGACCCTGATGGCCTGGCCTGACCCTCACAGGGCGAAACTACAGAGACTCCCTGGCCCTATGCACATGATGACAGGCCAGGCTTGAGGGTGACAGGCCCTTTCCTGTTCCTAGAAGTGTTTGTCTTAGTGGAAGGAGCCCAGCACAGTGTTTGACACACGCCAGGTGCTATGGGTGAGTTAATTAATTAACAATGACAGAACTGGAAAGCACAGATCTTGGGGTGGTCACTTAATCTCTCTGAGCCTCAACTTCCTCATCTATACAATGAGAATGATCATGTTAGGTGAGTGTTGGAGGAAGGAATAAGGAATGCACATGAAAAGACAGCATATTCCCTGGCACCCAGCAGGTTTTTTTCCTTTGGTTCTATTTCTGCCATTTGGATCATGGGAGTGTCCTGCGATATTGACTTCCTTGAGATCAGGCCCCATGGCCACCAAGATTGCCAATGTCACCTCCCAACCTTTTCTCCTCCAGCTGCCGTTTCTCCACATTCCAGCCTGTTTGCCTGCCTTCAAACTCCCCAGAGGCCTGGGGAGGAGGTCACAGGCACAGACTGAACTGAGCTGGAGGAGGGGTTTCCAAAAAGCAAGATGCTTCAGGAGGAAGAGCTCCAGGCTGGGAGTTTGAGACCCATCACATTATAGCCTGTGGGACGCTGGGCAAGTCATCTGCCTCTCCTTTGCTGTTTACCTCATCTGCCAGGGGCTGTTAACCATGATGAGCCTGCAGAGTTCAGAGTTCTATGACTGTATATTCTAAGTTCAGACTCCTTCAAACAGCTGGAGGCAGCTGGAGCCATCCCAGAGATGCTTCATGCACCTTTTTGTGACCTCCAGTGGGGTGTTTTGATAAATCCTTGTCAGTTCTGGCTTTTTTGTAGAGCTGTGTCCCCAACACCACATGGAACCCAGCCCCAGCCTTGAGCAAGTCCACCAACCCTTTCCTCCTCCACAGAGCCTGCTTCTCACCGTGCGCTTGGGTCCCAGTGGCCTAAGCTGGTGGCTGCTCATGGAGACATTCCCCAGGATTGACATGATCAGCCCTGGTCAGTCATGAGTACAGTGGAGACTTCCTCAGAGCAGGAGGTCCTTGTCCTTGCCCTGTAGTAACCCGGAGGCACATTCTGGGCTCAGCAGCAGCCTCTGTCCCAGAAATAGAACATAGGAGGTGCTCACCCCAAACATGATGCTCTAGACTGGGTGATGGTTCTAGGGAGGGTTCCAGGTCCTGCCTGAGTGGGTGTGGGTGGGCACAGGAATTTGCATTTATAACCAGCTGATCGCAGCCCTGGTTTTGAGAACTATGGTGGGAGAAGGGAGTTGATACCTGTTGCATAGCTGGGGTCATTGAGGTCAGAGTTTGGGATGGGATTCACATAGAAGGCATGACTAACGACTTGTCCCCAAGGAGCAGCACAGAGGAATGGGAGCAAGACCAGGAAAGGGGAAGCCCTGCAGCGGGTGGGTGATGCCTTGGTGACCATGGCTTTGACCTGATCCCATTGATAGCTCTGGAGCGTGGGACCAGACCTCAGGACATCCCACCTTAAGGCAACAAAGCTGAGCTTTTGTACTCCACAAGGCAGACTGTCAGCCCTGTGGCCACAGGCTGGGGGACACTGCATTCATTTGTGAGGTTCCAGTATTCCAGGATGAGCCTCTGAGGGTCCCAGGTGCTGGGTGACAGAATGCAGAGCTAGTGAAGGGATCTGGAGACTGGTGGAGTGCCAGCAGGAACCCCGACAACTAGTCCTTTCTGGTTGGGCATCTGTGGTATGTCAGGCTGTGGGCTGGGCACTGCCCACAGAGTTCTTTCTAATGCTGACTATCAGTCACAAATTAGAGGCCAGTGACTTCTGCCCCCAGGGCTGGGCTAAGAACCTCTGGAAGGTGCTTAGCAAGAGCAGCTGGTACCAGGTATGCACTAGGGAAGCAATCAGGTGTGTTCTTATTGCTGTCATAGGTGAAAAAACTGAGGCTGAAATGCAGTCGGCCTCAGGTGGCACTGCCAAGTTCTATGCTGAATTGAGCCAAGTGTGTCTCATTCCCGAGCCCTAGCTACTCCTGGGAACAGAGCACTGTGTTCCAGGGACGTGGCCAAAAGGGCACATGCACCACTCCTCTGCACCCATCCTTTCGTGTATGGAGACCCAAGGCCCTCCTTGTGGCATAGGAGATATGGGAGGCTCGCTGAGGAGGGCAAGAAGAGAATTCAAGGCAGAAGAAGTAGCATGGGCAAAGATGTGTCCATGGGAAAGCCAGGCACGGGCTCAGGAAGGCTTGGGAGGAAGGATGGGGCACATGCCTGGAAGACCTCGAACCTATGCCTGGGAGTTGTGGGGACTCCCTTTTGCCAGTGATGTGACTGAAGCAGGCTGCAGTGGGATGCAAGGAAGGGGAGAATGGAGACCAGCCAGGGTTTCTACAGCCATCCAGATCCCATGTGGAGATGCCAGCCAAGAGGGTGGAGGCACCCCTGCAGAAAGGAGCTGGGTGCTGGGGGTGACCGAGGGATGCTGGGGCACCCGAGGGATGCACAAGCCCTACTGTTTATTGAGCAGGTCTGTGGTACCAGCTGCTCAGCTAAGCCCCTTAGAGGATTATACGGTCTGATTTTCAGCATGGGCCTTGGGGTCATTAGCCTCCAAGTGGGTGCCATTACCCAAAATGAGGAAGGAAGGGTGGAGCCCGTGGGCCTCCCCTCCCGAGGACACACCCAGTGTTGTGACTAAGCCACCACCTGCCTTTCACAGTCAAGGAGCAGCTCACTTCTCATGTATGCCTTTGAGGATAGCTATTATCATGTACATGGGGAGATCCGATTTATAGATGGTCACTCAGAAGTGCTGGTGGCCCCGGATTTGCAGGTCTTGTGGAACTGACCGAGCCCTGAAATCTGCAGTTGGATGCCAGTTCCAGGTAATCAGCACAGAATCGAGTGTATTGTTCTCCAGCTGATGTCTGGGGAATTGGAGGACCGGACTGGTGTTGGAGTGTTACTCCAAGGGGGTGTAAATCAGTTTAGCGGATCATGACTGGCGTTAAAATGAAAAAGTGAATTGACTAGAGCATATCAGAATGTGTATTGTAGTTAGAATAAGTCTCGTGTTATTAACTTTTAATTGTGTGTGTGAGTGGGCGGGGGAGAGGGGCATGCTGCTTAGTGATATCAAATGTGTTTCTTACACAGAGTCCTCATCAAAAGTGAAAAGCTTGGGCTGTTGGAGTGGCTCAAGCTGCCTAGCAAGCATGAGACCCTGAGTTCAAACCTCAGTGCTGCCAAAATGACAAATGTCAAAAGTGAAAATCTCTAGCTGAACGCTGGCACCTGGAGGTACACAGCAACCCTAGGACCCTCCAAGCCCCCTCCAGAGTGAGGGAAGGGGGAGGGAAGAGGGGAATTAGAGCCTTTATTCAGAAAACCTCTCTAAAATTTTCTATTTTTGTGAATGTCTGTTTTTGTCATTGTTTGTTGTCATTTTGGATGTTATTGTTATTGCTTGTTTGGTTGGTTTAGGTAGCACTGGGGTTTGAACTCAGGGACTCTACCACTTGAGCATGTCTGACCCCCAGCCCTTTTCTGTCTTTTATTTTGTTTTGTTTTTCTGGGGTTTGAATTCAAGGCCTTCCACTTGCTAGGCAAGCGCTCTACCACCTGAATCACACAAACCTCCAGCCTTTCAGATAGGATTTTGCTTTTTGTCCAGGACCAACCTCAGACTGCAGTTTTCCTACCTATGCTCCCAGGTAGCTGGGGTGACAGGTGTGGTCACCACGCCTGGCTTATTTGGTTGAGATGGGGATCTTGATAAATTTTTGCCCAGGCTAGCCTCTCATTCACAATCTTCCTATCTCTACCTCCTAAGTAGATCGTATTACACCCCTGAGCCACTGTGTCCAACTTTGTGAATACTTTTTTGCTGGATTTAATAGTTCCCTGCCTCTGATGAGGTGGGGAGCAATTAGAGGTCAACCTGGTCAAAAAGTTATAGCAAGACCCCATCTCAACCAACAAGTGGTGGTGGTATATGTCTATAATCCCAGCTACACTGGGGGCATAAGAAGGAGTATCATGATCTCAAGCCAGTCCAGTCCAGGCAAAAATGAGAGGCCCCACCTGAAAAATAATCAAAAGCAAAAAGGGATGGGGGCATCTCAAGTGGTAGAACACCTGCCTAGCAAACACAAGGCCCTGAGTTTAAACCCTAGGACCAGAAAAAAGAAAAATGTAGCTCAGTAGTAGCAGTGCTTGCTTAGCATGTGCAAGGCCCTGGTCCAAACACCAGCAGCTCCACCAGGGAGTTCTGATCCAGGCAATCTGCAGTGTGGACAGGAGTTGAGGGTGCAGTGGAGTCCCTGCCTTCACTCCCTGATAAGATTTCCTTAGTCTGCCCGAGTCTGCACAGACCCCAAACCGGGCAGTTTGCATCCTCTGTCTCTGGCAGGAGAGCACCACTAAGACGCTCCGAGGCTGAAGTTGGAGAGGTAGACTGCTCCATCCTTGTTCTCCAAATTAGGAAAAACAGGCAGCTCCGTTAGCTTGGGAGCATTTTTGTTGGCACAAGCTTGGAGAAAGGGGTGAGTTTGGTAAATTCTGTCATTCCTTAAAGTATATAGTCTGTCTTTCAACAGACTCGCAACTAGGAATCTACCCAACAGAAATTCTAGCTCAGGGCAGAAAGATTCTCTGCCATGATTGTTCTTTTAGCATCATTTGACCCAGTGGTCATTGATAAGAGCCTGGAGCCAGGTTGCCTGCAGGTGAGTCCGTCACATACAAGCTGTGGGATGAGGATAGAGCAGTCAGTCTCTGTGCCTCAATTTTGCCAGCTATGAAATGGGCATAAGGAAAAAACCTACGTTGTAGAGTTGAGAACATTTAAGAGCTAGTCTATGTAAAGTTCTAGGACAGGACCTAGCACTGGGTAAGCCCTGTAAGTGTCAGCATTAATGAAAAAGGGAAGAAAAACACTAAGCATAGATGTCCATCGAAAGGAGAAAATAAATGGCAGTCATCCTGTGGTGCACAGGACAGCACAGTCAGAAAGAGTCAGGGCACATTGTGGACTTACGTGTCTTCTGGCTATAGCTTTACTGTCAGGTGACAAAAGCAATGACAGGGCAGTACACATAACATACTGCTGTCTGCATTTTCAAGATAAATGGTGTGCGTGTGAGTGTGCATATGTGTACGTGTGTGTGTGTGTGTGTGTGTGTGTGTGTGTTTGTAAATGCACAGAGATGGGTGAGGGAGGTCAGCCCCCTCTAGGGTGTTAACAGTGGGCCTCTAAAGAGGACAAGACCTGCACATTTTATTTTAAACACTGGTGTTGTTTAACTCTGTTACAGTGCATGTGTGTTTATTTTCTAATTATAAAAAAACAAGCCTAGGGCTGGGGTGTGGCTCAGTGGTACAGCATACTCCTAGCTTGCACTAGGCCCTTGGTTTCCATTCTTAGTACTGGGGGGAAAACAAACAAATAAACAACCTAACCCTTATAAAAGTGAAAGAGATGACCATAGTGCCTGAGTCACAGATTGTTGTACAAATGAAGTGGGATATCAAAGATAAAAAGATAAACCTCGCTTGGTTGATAAAGCTCCATGAATCGCAGTTCCTTTTCACTCTCAAAAAAATGTAGTAAGTGGTTTTCTGATCCTGGCTGGGTAATCATGGGCACGTCTCTTTACTTCCCAGCACCTCTAGGTCATCAACTATAAAACAGGAATTAATGACTCCGTATAGGGTTGGGGTGCTATCATAGAGTGACAATTATAACATTGTGACGCCTGCCCCACCCACAGTGGACGCTGTGCACACAGCCTGCCTGTGTGTGCTGACCTTGGCTGGGAGGAGGCAGCCCTGGGCGGGATGAGAGCTTTGAGCAGCAGATCACAGAGCAGGAAGAGGTCTTTGATGTGACCTGGAAGGAGGTGTAGAATGTAAGTAGACATGGGATGAGGGATCAAGATGACTGTGAGCGTAACACGGTGATCAAAACTAGAGATTGGAGTAGTAATGGTGGAGAGGAGGGCTTGAGATGGGAGTGAGGCTCTGGGGGCCTATCCGGAATGAGAACCTCAGGTAGGGCCCCAGATGGCTCCAGATTCACAGAAGGATCACACAACAATGACAATGACCATCAGCTGGCAGTTCTACCCCTTCAACAGTGGAGAAGCCAGAGGCCACACCCCAGGATCTCACAAAAAAGCCCAGAATCTCGTGCCACAGGTGCCCCCAGTCGGCCTCCCCTCCCCAAAAAGTGCCTCCCGAGTGGGGACAGCATATTTTCATCGGTCACCGCCACCATCAGTAGCAGACAGGCCTGCCAGCCTGCACCCCAAGGGTCTCTGCGCTGCTCTCTCCAGTTCAGTTCTGAGTGTGGACAGATTCACCGGCAATCCGCTGAGCCTCTGCACGCATGGCACACTGCAGGGTGTCAGAGCCTGAAACGCTGCCCCACCCCTGCCAGAAGCTGGGCCCCCAACCTAGGACTCCAGGGAAAGGAGGAACAGACAGTGAAGCGGTGATGACTGCAGTGGGGAGGTGGCACTGCCCAGGGCCCGCAAGGGAGACTTTTGGTAGGTGAGGGATGAATGGGATTTCTGTACTTGGATGGAGGTACACTGAGCATGAGCCAGGGGGTGGGGACAGCTTGTTAGTCGTCCTGGTATCTGCCAGGGTTTGAGGTCCACTGCCACATGACCTCTTGGTCCTCTTATCAGTTCCTATCTTCATAGAGGAGGAAATGAGCAGAGAACAGGACAGCTAAATAAGGAAGAAGAGCAGGAGAAGTGCTGGAAAGGTGGTGGACAGGCCTGGGATGCCAAGGGTAGACACAGAATCAGGACCACTTATCCTGGGCCCACAGTGTCACACCTGCTCCCTCCCCTGAGAGCCAGACCTGGGCTGTAGTCAGGAGGCCTAGGGCCAGCACACTCTTCCCCTAGCCCACCGTGTGATCTGAACATACCCTCTCCTTCTCTGGGCCTCAGTTTCCTTGTCTGCCTAAGTCACTTCTGGAGATCCCTAGAGAGGGCCATTAGCAATTCAGCCCACAGGCTACAGACAGAACTGGCTGGTGTGTACCTCTCAAAGTGCCTGACTGTGTGTTCATGGCACATCTGCACACAGGGCACTGTGTGTCAGATGGTAGAAAGGGTGGGACACTAAGTAGTGCTCTAGAGGAAGCCTGGGCCCAGCAGTCCCAGAAAAGCAAGAAGTGGTGGACCTACCCCCTGTACTGGGACTCCCCCCCATCCCGGGTCCCTGGTGTTGGCACAGGACCTAGGTTTGGCCAGAAGCTCCCTCTGCCTCAGCGCTGACCCTCGGCTGCAGGGAAGTTTCCAGTCCACCTGGAGGCCCAGCAGCTGTGAATGAGGCCCTTCCTTCACAGGCTGCAGGTCTAGGCATTGTGGGAAACAGACATAAAAGACTCCCTCCCCAGACTTGACTTTGGCCTCACGTGTCTTCACAGAGATTTACTGCCCTTCACACTGCGGCTGCCCCAGGCCATTCTCGAGACCAACAGCTTCGCAGACCTGGAGACCATCTCCAACCTGGGCCTGGGTAAGTCCTCCCTATGGGACCTGCGGTGGGACCTGAGGAGATGGGGTGTGAGAACTGCTCCCTGTGGCTTGTGCAGAGGGGGCTCCTCGAGTACAACCAAACTGGATCCTGAGTCCCTGCTCCTGAGATCACCCCACCCCTGGCCCTGGCTGCCAAGACACAGTAGCAGGGAGATTTTCTGGACTCTAGACTGCTGCCTGGAAGGTCCAGACGCATATCCTGTTTGTCTGGGCTGCTCAGAGCCAGAGAGGCTGACCACACCAGTCCGTGGTTCTGGAGGAGCTGAGCCAATGCCAAGGCCAAACTGAATTGGCCGGGAAGCACCACAGATTGATTGCTAGCTCCATAATCATGAATTGGAGTGTACTCCTCAGCCGCTTGGCCTGACCCCTGCCCAACCAATGGATCCTAAGCCCAGACCACCCTTGTTCCTCAGAGCTTTTGGGATTGACCTCACCATGCTGGCCCTGAGAGAACCAAGATCTCCAAGCCAGTGTCTTCTGGGGAGCCAGACCAGTTGACTCTGTCAGTGTGCGTCAGGGACAGAGAAATTCCTATAGGGCTGCAGGAAAGCGTATTTTAGGCCGGTGCTCTGGCAGCCTCTGGGCAAAGGCCCAGGGTTTGAATACCCTGGGGTCAGGTCAGGCTTGTGAACCAAGCAGGTCATCCATTAAATTTTATAAAAATTCAGCTGTACATGGGACACTGCACTGTGACAGAGCACAGTGACTGGAACACTGTGGTGTCCTATTTGCCACTGTTCACTGAATGAAGAAACAAAGGCCAAGAGCAAAAGGGCAGATTCAGGTCATAGAAGAAGCCAAGGGCATACCAAGGTCTGAGAAGACACCCTATGGCTCCGAGATCCAAATGCTGTCCACCACCCAAAGAGGCCTCAGAACAGTGCAAGACCAAAGGCCATCTGTGGTCAGAGGCCAGGTATTAGAGAGACCAGCCTTCAGGATTAACACTGGATGAGCACTGACTAAGCTGTAACCTTGTCCCAGCATCAAACAACCCTACAGAATGGGAACTATTGTTAAAATCCCCACTTTTTGGTAGAGGAAACTAATGCACAAGAGGTCAAGTAACGTGTTCGGTGTCAGTGTCACAGTCCGCATCAGAGCTAGCAGTTAAGCCCAAAGCTGTCTCACCTGGCATTTTAGTTGTTGGACTTTCGCCCTCCCAGGAGCTTGGATGTGGGATGTGGGACAGGTGACTATTTTGCAATTCACACAATCCAGATGGCCTCTCCTGAGGCCTCATGGATGACCCTGACCATGGCACAGTGCTGGTTTTCTGTAATCCTGTGTGGCTTAAACAGAAAAGTGAGTTTGAGCCCAGCTGAGGGCCTTCTCCCAGGTACCTCAGCGAGGAAAGACCAGAGCCGGGCTTTGTGGAACCACAGCCTTTCCACTGCTCCAGCGGTACCTCACCACCTTCTCTGTCAGTGACCACCCTGGAGACCAAGTGCATAGGACAAGTGAGATGTGTGGTCCGGGTCGGAGACATTTGCTGCACCCTTGGCCCTCCTGTGGGGCTCGGGCTGTGTCTCTGCAGGTTTGTCACACTGGAAGAGCCTGGCTGTCCCTAAGACCAGGAACACACTGGGTTTGAGACAAGCTTCTCCTCTTGGGGGAACCACATTCTGGGTGGAATAGACAAGCCTGGCTGTCCTGGAGAGCATGGCCTCAGGCATGTGGGGACCTGAAGGCAGCTTACACTCACCTGTAGAAGCTGACTTTTGAGAATGGGATTTATATACAACCCAAGTATGTGGAAGCTTAGGAACCAATCAAGGGTTCTTCTGTTCATACCTTGTGTCCTCAAGTACTGAAGACCATAGAACCAGGCACAGCAGATTCACTTTTCCCTGGAGCCAAGGAAAGGTGAACCGTCAGAGGCCTGAGACCTGGCCTGGCCCTGGCCCATGTAGACGAGGCCTCACCAGCTATGCCATGCAGTCGTGATGGTAAAATGCAGGGGCGGCAGCAGCTGCCATCCAGGCATTATTCTCCACACCTCATGTGTTATTCTAGACAAGGGACTTTCATGGCAGAGAACCAAAACCCATTCAAACTAAAATGGATAAAAGAGTCTCCAAGAAATGGAGACAGGGTTATCAGGGCTTTGTGGACAATGGCCACTGTTCTGTACATGCCAGCCCCTTGCCCTCTATACTCAGCCCTCTCACCTGCTCTTCTCACAGGTTCTCCAGGGAGAATTTGGGTGGCCACCCTCATGTTGGGATCTTGAGAGCCAGGTGCTCCCCAGGTCAGCATTTGTGAGAAAATCAAAAGCACAGGAAAATTCATTGCCATAGGCGCACGCATCATTCATTTATTCACACAAAGCCTGTTTTACTGATGAGGTATGGAAACTCAAAGTGTTTCCAGAGCTTATTCAGCTGTAGAAAGAAATGACGCTTGATACATGGTACAACACAGATGAACTTGAAAACATGGTGCCCAGGACCAGACATAGAAGGCACAGGGTGTATGATTCCACTTGTATTAAGTGTTCAGAAGAGGCCAGTCCACAGAGGCAGAAAGCATGTTAGTGGTTGCCAGGGGCTGAGGGGGTGACTGATAATGGATATAGGGTTTCTTTTGAGGGTGATTAAAATGCTCCAAAATTGATTATGGTGATAGTTACACAATTGAATGGCTATACTGAAAATCACTGGAGAGTTTTTTATATGGGTATACTATGGGAATTGATATTTCAATAAAACTATTAGAGAGAGAGAGGGAGAGGAGAACAGAGGAGAGAGAGAGAGAGAGCTAGAGAGAGAGAGAGAGATGGACTACAGGGCCTTCCACACAAGGATGGAAGCTGGACTCACATGGAGTTCACTGAGTTGGAACGCCAGGCCTTCTGTCAGAACTCATTGCCATCTGATCCTCATCAATCTTGGTCACCACCACCCATCCTTGACCCTTTCCTCCCCTTGCTTGGCCTCCAATGGCAAACAACATGGTGCCCTTTGCTAAGGAGGCCTGGATTTGACATTGGGAGAGGGAGAGAAGCGAGTCCTACCCTCTGCATTGTACTCTGTACATGCTTCTTTTCTTATTATAAAAGCCCAGTATGTTGTATGTGCTTGTTTTTAAGTGACAAGACCAGGAAGAGATGCGGTGAAAGCCATGCAGAAAATACATCTTGCCTTTTGGTTTGGTTTGGTTGAACATAGTTGTAGCCTGAAGGTTTTTTTGTTTGGTTGGTTGGTTTGGTTTGGTTTTTTTACTACTGCTGAGTCAAGAAATGTCTTGCTAAGGGTGAAGATTTACTCGGTTTTCAGCCTCCCTGGCAATCTTTCCCTAGTGTCAGCAATTTTATTTTTCTGGCATTCTACTCATTTTCTTATGCATACAGTAAGCCTTGCTGTTTATACAGGAATGGTGTTGCCAGAGCAGACTACCCACTTGCAGGCTTAGCACCGTGTGGTGGCTCAGCTGATGTAAGAAAGTCTAAACTTGGACTTGGAAAAGCCAGTATTCAATGTGCAGGCTACATAAGGTGTGATCTCAGACTTAAAGAGCTTCAGCTTAGTTGGGGGTCACAAAACTAATATAGACCTTCACTCAGCACTGAGTACAGAAGGAGTTTAGAGAAGAAGGGTTATTTGCAGTGGTTCTCAGGACACATTTGCTGTGTGTATGTGTTAGATAGATAGATAGATAGATTTGTTTTTTTGGTGGTACTGGGTTTGAATTCAGGGCTTCACACCTGAAAAGCAGGTACTCTACCACTTGAGCCATTCCTCCAACCCCTTTTGCTCTGGTTATTTTGGAGCTAGGATCTCTACTTTTTGCCCAGGCTGATCCAGACCTTTATTCTCCTATTTTATGCTTCCTTCCATAGCTGGGATGGCAGGTGTGCTCCACCATGCTCAAATTTTTTCCATTGACATGGGGGTCTCTCAAATTTTTTGTTTTCCCTGGGCTGGCCTGAAACATCAATCCTGTCAATTTCAGCCTCCCACATAGCTTGGGATGACAGGTGTATGCCACTGTGCCCAGCTATTGGTTGAGATGGGGGTCTCCCAAACTTTGCTCAGGCTGGCCTCAAATGGCAATCCTCCCAATCTCAGCCTCCCAAGTAGCTAGGATTATAGTCATGAGACACTAGCACCTGGTTATGTTTAATATTTTTTTAAATATGTTTAGGAAAGGCATACATTCTATAGCTCTTCCAAGTTTTCATGTAACTAGCTTATCCTTTATAGTGTACAACGAGAGAATTTTTCCAAGTTATTAAAGATTCACTGAAAACTTGAATTTGAATAAGTGAGCAATGGCCCATCTTTGGAATGTTGCAAAAATGTGTATCTCCTGAAGCTGTTTCCACTGCATTTATTCATCCCCTTTCTATCCTGCTGCTCAGCCTGCCCTTTCCTGTGGTGAAGCCTTGGGTGCCCTTAGGACTCCAGCCCAGCATGCACACAGCCCAGGCCCTCTGAGCCTGAGGTGTCTTGGCAGGAGCTGTCCCTTGCAAAGAACAGACAGAGGCCTCAAAGAGACAGGGCCTTCTTTACGGGTACTTGGTGGCTGAGCCAAGGCTTGGCACAGCACCACTGGGCACTTGTGCCCACAGTTTTGCTAACCACTAAGGATTGCATGACACAGTGTTCCGCTTCTCTTCTGACCTTGAAATTCTGCAGGCTGTTCAGAAAGTTACCTGCTACCTTTTTTCTTTTCCTTTTTTTTTTGTGAGCAGAAAGCCCTGAAGCCCTGACTCTGCCTCTATGCTTCCCTAACAGGGTCCCAGATCCTACAAGGCAGCCCCTCGGGACTCTGCTTCTTCCTCCCCTCTGAGTAGCATTGCCTTAGAGGCTGGTGCCCTGCCAGGGTGCCACGACCAGGCTTATTTGGGGGGCAGAATAGAAGCATCCTGGACCACAAGCCCATTTTCCTGAACCCCAAGGTCTGCTGCGCTCCTACCAGAATTCAAATGAGTGATGAAAGATGTGTTCTTGGGTTCTGGGCTTAGCAGGCCTGCCCCACCATCCTGTGACAAGCTGTCCAGCTGATTGTTCTTCTCTTTCTTCCCTTTCTCACTGTCTCATTCCTTGTCCTTCTATGCCTCTGGCTGTCCCCACCTTGCCAGCAAAGCTAGCCTTGATGTGACCATTCCCTCCACTCTGGCTAACTTATGCACAAGTATGACGTCAGGCTTCTATCTTGAGGGCTGAAGGTTCACAGATGATGAGGCATGGGTACTGCCTACTGGAAGTACAGACAAAAGGAGAAAATTAAAGTTCTCGTGGTGGTCAGTGCACACCACAGCTGGGGACACAGGAGAGCTCTGGGAGGCCTATATGCATGAGGCCTATATGCCTCTGCAGGCAAGATGGACCCTAGTCTTAGAACATAAGTAAGAATTTGACAGGTAGAGAAGGTGAAAAAGAATTCCAAGTAGTAGGAACAGAATTAGCCAAGACCTAAAGGTGGGTGGCACATGGCACATCCAGGGAAAAGTGAACAGCAGTTGGAGTGAGGCAAACACTCAGTGGATACATGGGGCCAGATCTCACAGGCCTTGAATGATCTAAGCAAGCAGTAGTGGGAGTTTCCAGGCACCAGTGGGCAGTTCTGGACCCTGTCTACCCCACGACTTCCACCTTCACCCAAAGGAAGTTGTGTGGACCGTGGCGGTGAGCATCAGGGCTGAGCTCAGCTCACTGGAGCTGCTGGTATGTTCTCCTTTGAGCCAGAGTGGCAGTTGGCTGCTCCTGGCTAGAAAACCTTCCAAAGAGGCAACCTTACAGAGTAGACATGGGCTCATGCTGGCTGTGCTCACTCTACAGGACCAGCACATCTGTAAGCTCAATATGAGCTGATCATACAGGAGACAGTGGCTACCCAGGAAGGCAAAAGCAAAAGTCAGGGTAGCTCCCAGGGGGTGAGAGAGCCCACTATAGACATGCCTTCTCCTGTGGCTGTGATGTGCACAGAGCTTTGCATATGGAGAGACAAATGAGAAGCTTCCATCTTGTCATTGTGGTGACAGCTGGGCCTTCTTGGCAGGCTTCCAGACACAGGATCTCTACCCAGGGTAAGACTGAGCCCCACTCCTCTTCCTGGTGAGGGTGCTCATGCCTGGGCCACAGACCTAAGAGCAGGCACACACTCAGTCGGCCCCGCCATCCGGCAATGTCCCCTTTCTCTCATCGTCAAAAGCCTATAGTGTTCTTACCACATCCCCAGTGTGATGCAAACCACTGACTCTGGGAGTGGAACCAAGATGTGAAGTGTTGCAAGTTCCTCCATGAGGAGGCCTTGAATACAGCGCTAATAATGAGGCTTTAGAGTTAGTCTGACCCGGTTCAAACCCCAGTGCCCTCACTTGCCCACCTGTGACCTGGGGTGAGTGCTTTCATCTCTCGAGTCTCTGTCATGTGAGGACAAGGCCTATGATCAGAGATCAGCACAGGCTAGCATATGTTCCTGGTACCACCTTGGCATTGCTTTGCACAGTTCTCTTTCTAACCAATCTCCCCCAGATGCAAGGAGCCTCAGGAAAGAGGCTATTCCTGCCACTCAAGAGAGCCTGGCTAACGCTTTGTCCACCCCTAAAATTACCAGGTTGAACAGGACCTAGGTTCCATATTCCTCTCTGGGAGGAGCTGCTCAAGTAAGCTTAGTTAGTAGCTTGTCCTCCAGCTGCCATGTCCCTGTGCCCTTGTGGGAGAGTCCTAAGTATCCATCAATACTTGATAGCATGGTGAGGGAGGGGCCACAGAGGCAGCCACGACTGAGTCCACGAGGACTGGTCAGTAGCCAGCAGTGCTGCATTCAGCTCCAAAGTGGGATCCTCTGTTTCCTAAGCCCCCACCCCACCTTGCCCAGCACCAGCTCCTTAGTTAACATAGAGGCCATCAGAGTCACGGTGGCTTGCAGTGGACCAACACTCTCCACTGACAGTCTGATCCACAGGCCATAATCCATCTGTTCATTCTTCCTGCACAGAAAACCCAAAAGGTCCCAAGTCTCTTCCCTGGTATGATAGGGTACCCTCCTCATTGAGACCCCCATTCTAGAGATGCCTAGACTGAGGCCTACAATAATCAAGGGACCTTCCTCAGAGCACCCAACTGGGCATCTGTGGGCACTCCAACCCTCTGTCCTCAACATGCCTTCCCTGCATGTGCCTGTAGCTGACTTGGGAGCACAATGTTGTCACTCCCACCCTGAGTCACCCATGCTCTCCAAGGTGGGCTCTCACATGGTGGAGAGTGGTGGTGGTCAGAAGTGAAGCTGGGCCCTGTCACATCCTCTCCCAGCCCCGCCCAAGGTTGCTGGGAGGCACGTGGGGTTTTCCCTAGAGGCAGGAAGTGGTGGGAGAGGCTTAAGTCCAAGAGGGGAAAACAAGCTTTGAAGTGAGCTGAAAGCTCACAGGGCCCCTGGGGCCCCTCCCCCACCACGTTGCAAAAGCCACCACCACCCCGGAAGACTGACCGCTTCTGCCTCTGTTTTCTACAGGCTTCTGGGACTCCTCGCTGAACCCCCCACGAGTCTCAGCTGAGCCCACCCGAGACCCGGCCCCCGGGACCCCAGCTGCCTCCAGCCTCAGGTCCACCTCCCATCATGCAAACTGTTCCTGTGAAATTGAGCTGTCCATAGGAAATGACCGCCTGTGGTTTGTGAATCCCATATTCATTGAAGACTGCACCCTGCCTGCCAACCCACCACCTCCTAGCAGCTGCCCCTCAAGCCCTATGCCTGCCATCTGCCCTGAGCCTGCCACCTCAGACGCTACCTCACCCACTTCCAGGTGGGCCCCACGCCGCCCGCCACCCCCACCCCCGGTGGCACCCCCACCCCCAGTGCCCTCTATACCTCCTTCCGGCCCGGCCTGGCCTCCTGCCCTCCCTGCATCTGCTTGTCCTTTGCCCAGTTCCTCACCAGCATCTGCAGCCCCCCTCGCACCCCATGCCCCAGACCCCCCAGACCACCCAAACCAGTCACCCATGACAACCTGCGAGGGACTCCCACATCCTGCAGCAGGCCTGGGCCCTCTTAAGGAGAAAGAGATGAAGCCAGAGACAGCCTCTAGCCCCATGCAGCCAGCCTCTGCCCCTCCACTGCCCATGAAGAAGAACCTTCCTGCTGCTCCTCCCAGAAGGCGCATCTCTGAGAGGCTGTCCCTGGAAGACCAAAGTACAGGGACAGTGGCAGAGGGTGACCAGCTGGGCCTTTCCAGGACAACCTCACTTAGCCTGCTTCCCCAAGGGACCTTGGGCAGCCCTGGGGACAGACCTCAGAGGACCACAAAGCAAGGCCAAGAAGCAGAGGCCAAAACCAGTGATCTGGGCAGCATGCCAGAGCCTCCCAGGAACACCAGACAACCCCCAGTCCCACCCCCCAGGAAGAAACGGATCTCTCGGCAGCCAGCCCCCGCCCTCCCAAGTCCCTTGGAGAGCCCTGAGCAGCCCACGCAGGAGGTGGCCTCTGAGAAAGCCACGCCTGGTGCTCCCAAAGAAGGCCCGAGTCCTGCTCCCCAGACTGGGACACAGCGCCTCCATGCCCAGGCCAGCGCCTGTCCCCAGAGCTCTCCGGAGTTCAAGGGCTCCCTGGCCTCACTCTCGGACAGCCTGGGGGTGCCCTCCTCCGTCACTGACCAGGACTCCTACTCAACCAGCAGTGCAGAGGAAGAGCTGGATTTCAGCAGCCCCAGCGTGAAGAAGAAGCCCTCCATGATCCTGGACAAGGCACGCCACCGCCTCAGCTTCGTCAGCTTTGCCAGCGTCTTCCATGCCTTCCTCTCCAATGACCGCAAGCTGTACAAAAAGGTGGTGGAGCTGGCACAGGACAAGGGCTCGTATTTTGGCAGCCTGGTGCAGGACTACAAGGTGTACAGCCTGGAGATGATGGCACGCCAAACATCCAGTACAGAGATGCTACAGGAGATCCGAACCATGATGACGCAGCTCAAGAGTTACCTGCTGCAGAGCACCGAGCTCAAGGCCCTGGTGGACCCCGCCCTGCACTCAGATGAACAACTTGGTCAGTGCCCAGCAGAGGCCAGGAGCCAGTGGGAGGGCGGGAAGGGTGACGTGCCTAGGATCTGGGGCCTGTGAGCACAGAGAGGCCTATGAAGTGGCCACAGGTGGGCCCCACCCTCACCCCCTTCCTGGGCGTGTGCACCCATCTCCAGTGCTGCAGGGTGGTTGCAGCGTGTGAACACAGCTATCCCCGCTTCTAGGCCATCGATCTCTGTCATATAGGAGCCACATTCCCCACTCTTCCACCATTGGCCCACAGTCACTTGCTCCCTTCTTGTCCTTGAGAGATAAGACCATTGTGGAGCGCAGTTTCAGCTCTGGGTCTCCAACCCCACCCCTCGCAACCCCTGTAGAATCAGACTGCCGCCCAGACCTCGTCCTTGCTCAGGCCAGCCCTGGCTTCTTCCCACTTCCCTCCCTCTTTCTTCTGCCCCTCCAGTCAATCACAGACTTCTAGATCTCTCTTGGGTTGGGCTTCTAGTTCACTGCCCTCCCACCCCTCTCCAGCAGCCCCCTAACCCTTCCCTTCCCCACCACCTCTAATCCAGTAACTATGAAAACTTTCTTTTGATCTATCGCACTGTGGAGCCAGAGTCATTGCCAAAGCCTCAAGCTCCTGCTAAACTGCTTGATAAATGGTCATCTCCCCCAGCTCTCCGAGTGCCACCTCCCTGGGGTCCCCTAGCTCTCTCCTCCCCATCTTGAGCCAGTGCTGGGCACAAAAAGGGACAGTTGGGACTCTGCAGCAGTCCATTCATAGCAAACATTCCTTGAAAAGAGAGCAATGAGGTGTTACCTTCCCCAAGAGACTGGATTTTGGTGGCTGACTCCTAAGGACAGTTTTGTTGAACAGGCCACAGGACAGGATGAGGGGACACTGCAGGTGTGGGTGGTGGGATTGCACAGGTCTGAGGCCAGCAACTGCTTGTGCAGAAGCCTAGAGCGATGTGTGCATCCACATAGAGCCCAGGGGAGTAGAGGGGTCGCCTGGGCAAGAAACTCAGGGGCAGGCCCACCCATGGCAGCCTGGGACTTACTCCACTAACAATCACCATGTCAGAGGGACTCAGGCCTTTTCCCCACAGAATTCATCCTCTGGGGAGTGAGCAAACCATGCAAGTAGATAGGCAAAGAGTGCCCAGTAGGGCACCCAGTGCTGCGTCAGATGCAGTCTCAGTGCTGGGGAAACAGGTGAACCAGTCAGAAGTGTCCCCATCCCTGGAAGCAAGTGACAGGTGGTAAGCCCCAGAGCAGGGAGCGGGAGGTACTGGGGGAGGTGGGTCACACAACACCAGGCCTGCACCTCTGAGGACTTGGTGTTCTGGTCAGAGCAGAGACTTGCTGCAAGGCCATGTCATCATCAAGGGGCACTGTGAGGGAGGCAGTGTGGGCAGAAGCAGTGCAGATGGAGTGGTGAGTAGTAGAGTCACCGATGTTTGGAGGTGGAGGCAGGACTGGCTGGTTTTGACATCCAAGAGATGATGATGCAGGCTGAGAACTGGTTTTGTTATCCCTGGAAGGCTACAGCCAGCCACCTCTTTCTGAGGTGCATACCAGTAGGAGTCCCGTGGCTCGGTGGTGGATGTAGGACCTTGGGGATGCTCATTGGACACCCAGGCGGGGCTGTGGACGAGGTCCTTGAGACCTGAGTCTACAGCTCTGGGGAGAAGTGTGAGCTGAAGGTAGATGTTTGGGAGCAGACAGTGCAAAAAGAGCCACAAGGCTGGGTGAGAGCTGGACCTGAGGACAGAGGCCCAGACAGTGGGCAGACCAGGAGGACATGGACAGCTGGAAGGAGCCCAGAGGATACTATGGTCTGCCCTACCTTCCAGAATGGGGAAGAGTAAGAGCTAGAGCCCAGAGAGGAGTAAGAGGAGGCCAAGCTGTGGATAGAAGGGTGAGAGGCTTTCTTTCGCAGAGATGGCAGTATGGACACAGGCAGAGAAGTGAGGGACAAGGGAGAGGGACAACAGGGTCACTCACGTGAGGCTGAGGATTTGGTCTGGAGAACATGGGCCCTGAAGGATCTGTGGAGGGCAGGGACTAAAGGATGATGAGTCAGGGGCTAGCCCAGCACTGGGACAGGACAGGGCCAGCACAGGTGGCCCTGGGCAAAGCAGAGGAGCTTAGCGAAGCTGGACCATCCCAGGAAACAGCAGATTGTCAACAACCCCAGGATGGCGGCTGGCAGGACTAGGACTTACCCAGGGCTGAGTCAGGTACTGAGATGCCAGCAGGTACTGGATTCAGAGTCTGTCCCTGCAGGTGACAGTGTCCCCAGAGCCTGCCATGGGCACAGTGTGGGACAGGGAGGGAACTGCTGGGGCAAGCTACTGAGAGTGGAGAGGATTGGAGGTTCAGGCAGCATAAAGAAGGTCCCTCCTGGGGACAGGAAGCAAGTGGACATCAGCAGTAGCAGTGGCTGTCTAGACCCTGTATGTTTTGGTCACGTGACTTAAGCCACACCCAGCACTGGGCCACTGTTGTGTTTAGGAAACCACGGCACACAGAGGCCAAGAGGACATGGACGAGTGAGAGAGCCGGGCTCAGAGCTGACATGAGCCTCACCAGGAACCGCCTTCTCCACTGCACTGCCTTCTCCCAGTGAGACAGGGGAAGCTAAGCCTCAGGAAGGCAGCCCCTGTGCTCTGGATCACTAGGGAGACAACTGAGGCACAGGCCTGGTTCAGGTGCTGCAAGAACAGTCTAGAGAAGAGGTGCTTTGGGGATTTCCAGGCTCTTAGATACAAGGGACCTGAGGACATGGTAAAGACACAGCCCTGGGAGGGAAAAGGATGTGACCAAGGTCACACAGGGGCCTGGAGCAGGATAAAAGCAACTCCTGCCCCCAGGATGTGCTCCTCTGGAATTCACAGGAGGGACAGGAGTGGGATGAGGGAGACAGCGCACCTAATGTTCTGATGAATAGAGGGATGAAACAGGACAGTCCCAGGATAGCTGGGACTGTCCCCTAGCCAGTTTTGCACAGCATGGAAGGGCCGTGCAGCCTCTACACAGGAGCATGAACCACTCCTCCCCTCCCCAGGGGCAGAGAAGCCCAGTGTCTCCCCACGGGCACAGAACTTGGGACTTCCCCTGGCTGGGTCAGCAGCCAAGAACCCTCCCTGGAGATGGGAGAGAGGCAGCAGAACTTCCTGCTGTCACCCGGTATCACCCATGGTATCTGACCATCACTGTGGTGCTGGGTAGGTGGAGTTGGAATCCTTGCTTGGTCTCCATCCACCCCATCAGAGCTCATGTTACTCCATTCTTAGATTTGGTGGAGGGTGGGGGGACATAACACATATGTTGCAGGGTTACCGTGACAGCAAAGTTCCAAGTGAGTGGGTTGGGAGGCAAGCAAAGCATGAGGGAGAAAGATTGTAGGGGTGAGTCACAGGGGCCCTTGTAGGGAGATTTCAGCTTTGACTTGACTGCATGTACAGTGGGAGTTGTTGCAGGTTTCTGAGCAGAAGGATGTCATGGCCAAACATGTCAAAACAGGATGGCACGGGTTCTGTGTTGAGAGTGAACTATCAGGGCCAGGGCCAGGGGCTACTGACACCACCCAACAAGAGATGATGGTGGTAGCCCGAGATGCCCGGGTCACGACAGCAGCCATAAGAACAAGAAGCCAGGTTCTAGATAGGCTGTATTTTTGAGACTAGAGTCAAATAGATGGGGGATTGAAAGATGCACCAGTCATTACTGGACACACAGGGATTACAGTGCCCAGGCTGTGCACTACACAACTCCAGTGTGACTTGTGTCCTCTGAAGTCATGTAATGTAGGCAAGCTCTGTGCCTGACCCTGGGAGAAGCACTAGGACATAGTGACCAGTGGTATTAGTCACCAGGGGCTTCCATGCCACTGTCTCTACAGTGTGTCTTTTTATTTTTATTTTTATTTTTTTGGCAGTACTGGGATTTGAACTATTTTTCAGGTAGGATCTTGAGTTTGCCTGGGCTGGCCTTCGACCTCAATCCTCCTACCTCCGCCTCCAGTGTAGCCAGGATTATAGGCACATGTTAGCATACCTGGCTTCTGGTTGAGATGAGATCTTGCTAATTTTTTGCCCAGAATGGCCTTGAACCAGGATCCTCCCAATCTCCACCTCCTAAGCAGCTGAGTTTACAGGACTGAGCCAATTTACCTGGCTCTTGCAGTGTGACTTTCTGTTTAGTGAGAACTTAACACACTATACTGTCCATGTGTCAGGACCACTGTGTATAACTACTGGGATTGGGAGAGGAGGGCTGCACCACCAGGTGGCAGAGCCAGGTGCAGGGTCCGTGAAGCAGGCTTCCTCACCCTGTGCTCTCTCACCCCTGCCACAGAGGCCATCGTGGAGTCAGCCTTGTATAAGTGCGTCCTGAAGCCCCTGCAGGGGGCCATCAATGCCAGCCTACTTGAGATCCACAGCACGGATGGCTCGCTGCAACAGCTGAAGGGGAACCAGCTGGTGGTCCTGGCCACCACCACCACTGACCTGGGCGTGACCACCAGCGTGCCCGAGACACCCATCATGGAGAAGATCCTGCAGAAGCTCACCAGCATGCACAAGGCCTACTCACCTGAGAAGAAGATCTCCACCCTGCTCAAGACATGCAAACTCATCTATGACTCCATGGCCCTCGGCAGTCCAGGTAGGCGCGGGCACAGGGCCCTCTCCTTGGGTCCCAGGTTTTCCTGGGGACAGGAGGAAGGAGCTTGCCACTGCCCTGGAGGTCGGTGGGAAGCGCCTGGCCTGTGTTTGTCAGGAAGAGGCTCTGTGTGAATTGGCCAGAGCTGCTGAACAGAGTTGGAGACCAGATGCTCAAGGTCACGGCATGGGCAGTGCTGTGCTCCCTCTGGAGGCACTGGGAGGGCTGTTCCTGCCTCCTTCCTGGCTCAGGCAGCTCCTTGATCTACAGGATTCCAGTCTGCGCCTGACATTCTCCCCATGTGCGTGTCTGTGTCCACATCCCCCTTCCTATAAGGACATCAGTCGCAGTGGTCAAGGATCTCTGCTCCAGTGTGAACTCCTCCTGGTCCTTTATGTCTGCATTTCCCTCTGGTCTCATTTTCAGTAAGATCATCTTCCCAGGTACAAGCGGTAGCTCTTCAGTGTAGGAATTTGGAGAGGACCTGGGTCTGCCATAACAGGTACCATAAACAGTGTTAAACCTGACTCCAGGACCTTGGAGCAGTGCTGAGTTGCTCGGGCCTTGCAGGGCTCAACTGGGCTCGCTGCGGACTGTGGTCAGCAGGTCATTTGGAGCTACTGGTCAAGGTTGGCCATGCCCATCTGCTGGACAGTGACTGGCCATGGCTGCCCTGGGGCACAGTGACTAGGCCACTAGTGCCTCGTCCTCAGCAGATCTGCCCAGGTTCTGCCCAAGGCCAGCTGGGGTCCAGCACAGGGAGCCAAGCCTGCTGATATTTGGCTGGAACTGAAATCACCAACACATCTCACCACCTCGTTTAGTCACAAGATGAGCCCAGATTCAGGGGACTTCTCTTGACAGGAGAGTTACAAAGTCACATTGCAAGGGGTTCAGTGAAGAGAGGAGAATCCCTGTCCCCCACTGTCCCTCCAGGTAAACAAGAACAGAATTCGCTGCACCAAGTGAGCAGTGGGCCGGATGTCCTTGTGCAGTGAGCAACTTGTTAACTGTACATGGCAGCCATGGTAATGGAGAATGGAAAGCTTATCACCTCTGTAACCACACGGACCTGTGTTCAAATTCTTAGTCTGTCACTTACTACCTGTGTGACCTTGAATGATTTACTTAACACCTTGGGGCCTAATTTCCTTACCTGAGGAAGCTGCTTTACAGAGAGGGAAAGCTAAGATCCCTAACGTTTCAGAATTCAGACTCATCCTTTGTGTATATTAGAAACAGCTATGTAGTCCTCAGTGCAGAGCTCAGCCCATGTATCTAGGTGAGGAGCAGGACCCTCTGGAGAAGGGCAGGCCAGTTTGACCCCAGGGCAACAGAAAGCAGTTGTGGGTATGGGGTTATGTTATGAGGCAAGGTCCCTTCACCCTGGAAAAGCTTCCCTCATGGACTGGCACAGGCCACAGTTCCAGGTTGAGTGCTGTGAAGCTCTGTCTTCACAGAGTGGACGTTAGGTTTGGAGGTGAGATATCTTATGCAGGCTGCAGGCCAGTCACCAGGCCTAGGCCATGAGCACAACTGAGTCCCTCCTAAAAAGTCCCCAAAGAAGTAAGACAGGGTCAGCAGGCAGCCTGCAGAGCCTAGAGTGCCCAGGGAGCATGGCATGGTTGGCCCCAGAGGCTTAGGGCCTGGGAAGGCACCCAGCTTGCCTGGCAGCAGCAAGGTAAAGCTGAGATTAAGACCCCATTGTGGCCAGCAAAGGCCCAGTGGGAACAGTATCCTGGACATGGGGGCAGTAGGCTGGGGGTGTCCTGCGTGGCATGTAGGAGGAACAGTGAAGGAGCTGGGTCAAGCCTGAAAGGACGTAGAGCCTCATGGACCCTTTGCTGGCCTCAGAGAGCAGAAGCTGGCCCGTGACCTTGGAGGGACAAGGAAGAGCTAGACCTAGGTTTCCTTCTCTGCTCCATTTCTTCTTAGCTGTCCTGATGCCAGGGGCACCTAGCCTCAGTTTCCCCCCCTGTGTGGATGGGCACAACCATACCACCTGTGGGCTCTCATGAGGCTGCTGTTTGCATGTTCCCCAGCAACCAGCTCTTAAAAACAACGGCTACCCTCCGTGGCTCCGTGTCTAATTGAGGAATCAGTTCCTCCTGGGTGGCTGGCTCAGGGTGAGGTCAAGACCAAGGGCTCTGCAGACCTTGCACCATTATCAGGGAGCCCTCATGCAGCTGAAAAAAGTCAATTCCATTCCCAGTACATCCCAGTTACCCACAAGCCTCTAGCTTCCTGGAGTTCTTTTAAAATCCAGTCTCAGGGCAGTAATGTTCAAACACCAATTCACTAACCGTGAATCTGGCTACTGGAAATGTACTTGAGGACAGGGGCTGGGGAGGCCATGCCTGACCTTGAGGAGGAAGGGGAAGAAGGCAGTTGGTGGAGTGGGCACAGGGGGCAGCAGGTGGAGGAGCCAAGTAGAAAGGAGCCAGATGGGACACGGTGGCAGGATGGACTGTCTGCTGACTCCAAGGACAGCACAGGTGGAGAGACACCCTTGAAAGTCAGGCCAGGTCCCAGCTCAGTATGAAGACTCCTTGCCAGAACCCAGTGGGCATCTCCACAGGAAGCCTGTGGACAGTGAGGGACTCACGAGTTACCTACAGGCCTTGGTTTTCCCACTCAGAAAATGGGGCTAGGTGTGACTCTCAGGACTATGAGGACCGAAGGTCATGTGTGCTGTGATGTTTGATGTAGGAGCGGCTGACCCACAGATGGCCTGTTTCCTAGCTGGGCACTGGGCACCCCAGAGGCCCCCAAAGAGACACAAGACAGTTGAGTCCCCAGCGAGCCTCACTGCAGACAGCCCCCGCTGGACCTCTCCTTCAGACATGATCTTATGTGAAATAAACAGTCCTGGGGCTGTTTCCTTTTTTAAACCTTTCATTTGGAAACTACTTCAAAGTTCAAACACTCCAAGAATAGAAATACTGCATTGAAACTGGGACACCTGCAAACCTTTGTGACTCCTTCCCCACCCCCATCTCTCTCCTGAATCAGGTAAATCACATCCAGCGTAGTTACAGTTTAACCCACTCTGATTTGTAATCTTTCCACGTCTTTGTTTCTTTGCTTCTTTTTTACCACGCTGATATTTTTGAGACTGAAGTACGGATTTCCTTCCCCGCCCCCACCTTGGTCCTTTAAGTGACAGTTCCCCATTTTGTGTTCGTGCCATCTTTCTTCATGATTAGATTAGGTGATGGTGTTCTTGGTCACATTCTGATTGACTCAGATTCTCCTGGCTTTGACACAGGATGATTTTAGGACTAGGCGCTGGGCATCTGACCCACACCCCTCTCCTGCCTGCTGCTCCCAGTGTCTGTGCCACCTGTGGCCTTACAATGCAAAAAATGGTCTACAGAACAGCAACCCTGGCCTGAAGGCCTGGGAGTCTCTACATGGAGAAGGTGCTCTCAACAGAATACAGCCACCACCCCACCCACCTCTAGACCTCCCAGGCCTCATCTCCAGTGCCTCTCCCATCCACTGTCTGATGCTGAGGCTTGAGGCTATGCTGTGTGATTCATTTGAAACAAGAACAAGACAGGGCCTGGCTCTGGGCACGACCTGTGAGGATGGTGAGAACAGGGCGAACTTGGAAACACAAGGTCTGAGTTTACTGGCCCAGCTGTCTTTTCCAGAAAGACAGCTGCTGTAATGCCCATAATGCAGAAAGGCTAGGATTCAATCCCAGAATCATCTCACTCCTAGCCTGTGCTTTCATTGCTGTACAAAACAACCAGCCTGGGAACAAAGCCCAGCTTTCAGGACCAAGTGAGTTCCTTTTCCACTCTTGCTAGTTTAGGGTCTTGGGTCCAGCAGTGAGGGAACCCACAAAGGCCAAGGGGCTCTAGATCAACTTGGTTCTCCCTTGTACCCAGGAGCAGGCTGGACTTCTGTGGGCCTCACAAGGATTGGTGAGAAGAGTTAGACTTCTAGATTCATCTCCTCAATTACTCTTAGATGTATGTCTAAGGCCAGGCGTTAGAAACCAGTTCAAGTAATGTAAGTGGCAGGAGGCATGGAAGGGCACACTGAGGGCCTGTGGGCTGCCCTTTCATGCCAGACGTCCACAGCTTCTAGGGGACCAGCTGACTGTGGCCCAGGACTCTGCACTGATTTGTTGACAGAGTCAGGATCTGTTAGTGTCTACATCCCAGCAGAGACCATGATGTCAGGAATCTGCAGCTGGTTCAGGCAGGAGCAGTGACTGGAGAGTTGGGCTAGGATGACGAGGTTGAGAGCCATTGCTGGGGGAGACCACCCAGGGGCCTGTGACATTGCCTGGAGTGAGGGGTGGAGGGAGCAGAAAGAGATGTCAGCCCATTGGTTTTTAAAAATCAATGTTTAAAAAAATATATCTAAACTGATTTCTGATGACGAAAGTCACCTGTGTTCATCGTTGAGCATTTGGTCAATAGTATTTGAGGGAATTTCTGAAGAGGAACCCAGAGCTGGGTGCTTTCCTCAGGGTGCATGTTCTCAGAGCAGAACTTGGACTTAACCAGTGTCTGTGCAAAGGGCAAACCGCCAGGCCCGGGCTTGGGGAGCTCAGGAGGAGGGCTGGCTCGTCAGCTCACGTCAACCACAAACCACCAGGGACCACCACCCACTGCTTCTCCTCCCTGGGCAACTCAGGAAGCGGGTTGTGCTTAAGATTCTCTTTCATAAAAAGCTTTCAATACAGCAACAGAGTTAAAATCCACTGCTGGCAGTCTCTACGTTCTGCCGTCCTATGTTTGCATCAAACAAATTCATCCTCAGCACATCCAGATGTTAACCAATGTTAACAGCAAAGCCCCGGAAGCCCAGCTTGTTTGTGGGATTCTCACGACTCGAGCAGCAAACAGCACTCAGCGAGCTGCAGTCGTGTGGTGCAACCAACAATCTTCCTTCAGTCACTCAGCAAACATATTTATTAAACACCTTCTGTGGGCTGGGCACTGTTGAGGTGTGGGTTATAAACACTCACCAGGTCAAGTCCCACA